TCAAGCAAGATCTTCCGCTCCTTCCTCGTCAGCTTGGCAGCCAAGCACCGCATCGTATGGAGCCAGAAGCCCTGTTCAATCATGTGCATGATGTATGGCGGAAGAGCAAGCTAGATGTTGCCCCACGAAGTGGTTGAGAACTCCCACTTCCAAAGCACACACTGCACAGCAGACACGATATGCATTTGGAGGAGGGCGGCACAACCATTTGGACTCGGGATCTCCCGTGGGCAGGGTGGGAGCGGGACGGCCCAGGGGAAGGGGCGGGCAGACAATGGCACGAACACAAGGGTAGGAGAAATGGCAGCCAGACTCAAGACCATGAGCACGTGAGAGGTTGATAGAACATGCGTGCAAGTCTAGGAATGACCGAACATGGGGGTATGCGAGGGAGGGAGGAAACATGCATGCAAGAGCAGGAACGCAAGGTCAGGAACGCAAGGGCAGGCATGCAAGGGCAGGAATACAGGGGCAGTCGTGCAAAGGGGAGGAATGCAAGGGCTGGATTGCTTAGGCAGGAATGAAGGGGTAGGGATGCATGGGCAGGACAGCAAGGGCAGGAACTCAAGGGCAGGCGTGCTAGGGCATGGATTCAAGGGCAGGAATGCAAGGGCAGGAATGCAAAGGCAGGAATGCAAAGGCAGGAATGCAAAGACAGAAATGCAAAGGCAGGAATGCAAAGGCAGGACTGCAAAGGCAGGAATGCAAAGACAGGAATGCAATGGCAGGAATGCAGGGGCATGAGTGCAAAGACAGGAATGCAACGACAGGAATGCAAAGGCAGGAATGCAAAGGCAGGAAGGCAAAGACAGGAATGCAAAGGCAAGAATGCAAAGAGAGGATTGCAAAGGAAGGAATGCAAAGACAGGAATGCAAAGACAGGAATGCAAAGGCATGAATGCAAAGACAGGAATGCAAAGACAGGAATGCAAAGACAGGAATGCAAAGGCAGGAATGCAAAGGCAGGAAAGCAAAGACAGGAATGCAATGGCAGGAATGCAGGGGCATGAATGCAATGGCAGGAATGCAAAGACAGGAATGCAAAGGTAGGAATCCAAAGGCAGGAATGCAAAGACAGGAATGCAAAGACAGGAATGCAAAGACAGGATTGCAAAGACAGGATTGCAAAGGCAGGAATGCAAAGACAGGATTGCTTACACAGGAATGCAAGGGTTGGGATGCATGGAACTATGACGACGAGGAGTGTGAGAGCGAGTCTGCCGACGTGGAGAGAAAATCCGGCAATGACAGCCATGGTAAACGTCATCAAGGGATGCGCGGCGGCTCTCGACAGCGCAGGCACGGTAAGACCAGCGGACGCGGCAACCACGGGCGGGAGAAGAAGCGGCAGCGAGGGGGGTTGCGAGAGGACCGACGGCGCACCAACAGCTCCAAGGATCGGGCATCTAGGGGCAAGCGAAAGGGATGGAAGTCGAACGATGATGACGACGCCTACGGGAATGAGCATAGCGACTCAGAGAGTGAGTCCACGGGGGAGCTCGAGCCCTGCCACAAGAAGCGTCAACGCGGTGGCGACCGGAGCAACGTGTACGCTAAGGTGGCCTCATCCAGTGATGAGGAGGAGGTGGTTGCCCAGTGGAAGCCTAACAAGATCGAAAAGGATGCACTGGACAAGTACCCGAGGGGATCCAAGAAGGCGGACTCAGGTTACGGAGGGGAGGACAATGATGAGGAGGCGTCGGAGAAGAACCCACCAAGGGTTCGTGAGGCTGCGAACGAGCGTCCAAGCAAAGAACGGCATCCGCCATCGCACAGTTTGACAGCGGCACCGCGGCTCAGCGGCGAAGCGGTACAGTGACACGGGGGCTCGGCGTCTCGGCGGCTCAGCGGCTCGGCGGCGCAGTGGCTCGGCGGCTCGGCGGCTCGGCGATACGGTGGCTCAGGCGATGAGGCCGGCTAGGGCGCAAGGGGCTGGCTAGGGCGCAAAGGGCCGGCTAGGGCTAGCGGGGCCGGCAGGGCGCGTGGGGCCAGCTAGGGGCGCGAGGAGCCGGTAGGGGCGTGAGGGGCCAGTAGGAGCACGAGGGGCCGTAGAGGCGCAAGGAGCTGGTTGGGGCGCGAGGGGCCGGTAGGAGCACGAGGGGGCATAGGGGCGCGAGGGGCCGGCTAGGGGAGCGAGGGGCTGGTAGGGACGCGATGGGGCCGGCTAGGGGCGCGAGGGGCCGTAGTGGCGCGCGGGGCCGGCTAGGGGCGCAAGGGGCTGGTAGGGGCGCGACGGGGCCGGCTAGGGGCGCGACGGGGCCGGCTAGGGGCGCGAGGGGCCGTAGGGGCGCGCGGGGCTGGCTAGGGGCGCGAAGGGACCGGCTAAGGGCGCGACAGGGCCGTAGGGGCGCGACGGGGTCATGGGGGCGTGACGGGGCTGTAGGGGCGCGACGGGGCCGGCTAGGTCTAGCGAGGGACGGTAGGTGGTGGCACGGGGCGGAAGCGGGTGGGTGGACCTAACTACTCGTGATACCTTGTTAAGACTAGTAAGAATGTTTAGAACAAGGGAGAACAGGGGGAGATATAGCGTTTGGGTTGTACTCACTAAGAAATACCCTATCTAGCCTATAACTTCTATATAACAACAGATGTTTAAGTTGACACTTGTACTTCGGGATTCGAATTCAAACTCCTCGTGCAGTCTTCGGGCATCTGGGGATATTTCGACGGCACGAACCGTTTTCCAGATACAGGAACAGCCGAAGAACAGGCATGTTATTACAAGTATTTGCTTATGGCCTATTCACTACTGATGCCGATCTTCATCGACAAAGGGAAGGTCGTCCTGAAATACTGCCATACAGAATGAAATGGTAGCTGATTTTCTCATGAAGAAACTCCCTCGCTGCAAATTTCAGTACTGCTACAACTTGGTTAGAATCTACAAACGAGGCGACACTTACCCGAAGACATACTTTCAGGAATCAAGGGGAGTGTTAAAGTATACTCGACATAGTTACAATTTATGCATTCCTCATATTATACTTAGACTGTACTAGTAGCGCGCTACCTTATATGAAAGGACGCGCGTGATGACATCAGCAGTAGCGAGTCAACGGGTGAACAGTAGGTTCCCGCGTATAGTCATCTGAAGGGTCACACCACTCTCAGTCACATGGACAGTCACTAGTCATGTCACGCGAATAGTCGTGATCCACTTCGTACAAGTACATTCGGAAAAGGTACTTCCTAGACTATAAATATGCCAGTATTACTCATTATGATCCTTTCGGCATTTCCAATACAAGGTGTTAAGTCTTCCGCTGTTTTTTTACTCTTGGTTCCACCAACTCTAGATCCTGTCCACCCTAAGCACGTGGTTCACTTCAACAAACTCTAACACACCCCTCGTTGAAGTATACTCGATAAAGTTACTGTTTATGCATTCCTGATATAATACCTAGACTTTACTACTAGCGCGATACCTCGTATGGAAGGACGCGCGTGATGGGCGTCAGTATTATTAGCGAGTCAACGCGTGAAAAGTAGGCTCGCACCATGGTCTCAAACTGGTTTTAAGGAGGCTAATTGCACAGGTTCACCCATGTGAGAACCCTGTTTTTCAGGGTCGTGTTTTGGGCGTGGCATGTTTTTCCAGGCCAAAAAGGCTTAAAGTGAGGATCTAGAAATCCCCCAAACTTAGGTTTTTATCCTCGCTTTAAGCCTAACTTATCAGGCCTACATTTTTTTAGTATTTGATCCTTGTTTCGGATTGGACTTCACTACATACCATGTGTCTCTCACTACCTGCGTGATTTTGGTGAAGGACCTAGAGTGGATTCCTACGTCTTCGTGTCAAACTAACCTTGCGCCTGACTCGTCATTTTGCCCAAACCGCTGCTCAGACTTTTAATCCTCGTGTCAGACTTGGGGCACGTGCCTAGCATTACGAAAGTTGCAAGGGATGCCATATGTGTGCGTGTGGCTCGCAAATGCAGTTTTACCCAAACCAGCACCTCGCAATTTGCCGAAATGCAAGCACATGTGTCACCTCGCAATTTGCACGAACGGTTGTTTGTGCTTTCACAGATGTGGCAAACGTTGGACATGGATTTTCAGTTTAGCAAAATTCATGCTGTAGTTCGTTGCTTACTGCGGGTTGGTTCCTGTGCTCTTGGTTAAGGCCCAGTCACACCCCTCACACCTGCTCCAACTCACGTCAAACTACCTACGTGGCGTATTCTAATAGAGCAACCACGACTACCGCAATTTTTTCCCAGGCGCAAATGATTCCTTTGGTGCAAACCCGATATACGCAAAACAAGAAAACATGTAACTGGCCAATCATCTGCGGTACAATGATGCCTGCAAAAATAGGCATACGGCCAGTAATTTGTGTTCCTACAACAAATGACGCCTGATAACAGGTCGACGATGCCATGCGATCTCACAGGGTTTCAAGCGCCAACCAATATCCACATTTTGATCCACCTAATGACGACCTGACCCAGGTACAGTAGACCGCAGGAACCAGGTGCTCCACGTACGATGACGGATTCTAGTCGGATGCTCGACGGGATCCGTCCACCCCACCCAATTACAGCAAGCCACTAGCCACGCCGTTATTAGAGTCGTCACCCCCGCGGAAGTGCTGAGTTGGAGGGGCGGGTGTATTTACCCAACACTCATCCCAGCGGCAGTGTGAGAGTACAACCCCGTTACACCACTTGGCCTTTCCTTATTTCCTTCCTATTTTATTTCTCATTTTATCTCATCTCATTTGGTTTCCTCTTCTCCATTTTCCATTAACCTTTGGTTTATCCTGCTATTATAATTATATCACCGACCAGGCTTGGGATGTACTGGTGCCCTGTATCTAGCGTAATCTTGCCGTAATCCCTTAAAGCCAATAGCCTTGCGTGGCTATACGCAGGGTGATTCTATCTTCTAGAAGAGTCTATTCCCTTAGGATAAGATAAACCTGGTTACCTGATGTACTCTGGAAGTATAAAAGCGCCTTGTACTGATCGATAGTGCAATCTTTCCTCGAGTCATTCGATCCTGTGACACTTGGTAATCAAAGCTTTTCTCACTCGGCCACGCTCAACAAAGCAGCAGCAGCGGGAAAACCTGCCTAAAAAAACCACCGGGGGCGACCAATTCGACGCCGATTCTGGTAAGCACCAGCTCCGCGTTTTTTCGAATCACCCCCCCCGCGCGTGTTTTGAACAGGATGGCAACCTTCGACAACGCCGAGGTTACCCAGCAGCTCTTCGCGCGCATCGCAGCCCTTCAGGAGGAAATGCGAGCGGATCGCGAAGCGTGGCGAAACCAGTTCGAGCGAGTAACTCGACTCGCCGGAGCGCAGCACGAGACGACAACGGCGACGACGCAGCAGTCGCAGCAGTTTCTCGAGGCTCCGAAACCGCGCCCACCTGAGCCGTTCGATCCGAGCGATCGAAACTCCGACGCCCGCAGATGGATCGCCGGGATGGAGATCTACTTTGCAGCCGTCGGATGGAGCTCGCCAGTCTGGGACGGTCAATGTGTACGACTCGCGGCGACACTGATGCGAGGGCCGGCACTCGAGTGGATTGGCGGCAACAGCACTTTTATCCACGGTGAAGCCACGTGAAGCCAACTGGGTGAATCGCACCGCAAGTATCTACAACAATGGACGGAGAGTACAGCTACCCAACTGGGTCCAGTTCCTAAAACACATGGTGAGCGCTCAAGGAGTTCACGTCGACCCCAAGAAAATCGAAGCCGTACGCACGTGGAAGACACCCGAGAACGTGAAGGAGTTGCTGCAGTCCCTAGGCTTCGCTAAGTACTACAACAGGTTCGTGCCACAGTATGCGAAACTCGTAGCACCACTCACGGATCTGCTGAAAAAGAACATGCCCTACAAATGGGAACCAAAGCACCAGGAAGCCGTGGAGCAGCTGAAGCAAGCACTTACGTCCGCACCAGTACTCATCTTGCCAGATCCCGAACGCGACTACGTCATCGAAGCTGACGCCAGTGACCAGGCAGTGGGAGCAATCTTGATGCAAGATCAAGGAAATGGACTGCAACCAATCGCCTACCTCAGCAAGAAACTGCACGGGGCAGAACTAAACTACCCGATACACGACAAAGAGTTCCTTGCCATCGTCATCGCCTTCAAAGCGTGGAGATGTTACCTCAAAGGATGAAGAACAACCGTCTACACCGACCACTGCAGCCCGAAATATTTGAAGACACAACCCAACCTTTCCAGGCGGCAGGTCCGGTGGATCGACTTTCTCGAGACACACTTCCACTACGACATCGTGTACAAGCCCGGCCACAAAAACAAAGCAGACGCTCTCAGCCGGCCTGCACACGTTGCCGCTATTCAGATCGAAGGGATGAATCCACTCCTCAAGGGACTCTTCACACGCGGGTACGCCATCGAACCCGAAATTCCCTTGGCAGAAAAGCGACATCTGCTACAGTGGGGCAGTGACATCGCGTCCGGAAAGGATCAACAAAAATCTGGGTACCCAATTACCCTCCTTTGCGCCAGTTACTACTCAAAGAATACCACGACGTCCTCTACGCCGGACACTTCGGTAGCAACAAGACGCTGACCGGTATTGCAAAACACTACAACTAGCCCCACTTGGCAGAGGATGTTCAGAAATTTGTCACCTTGTGTGATACATGTCAGAGGATGAAGAGCAGCAAACAGAGGAAAGCGGGACTGCTACAACCTCTTCCTGTCCCAGAACAGCCATGGCAAGTGGTTAGCCTGGACTTCATCACCGGGTTACCACCTACCACCAGCAGTCATGACGCAATCCTTGTCGTCATCGACAAGTTCTCCAAAATGGGTCACTTCATCCCGACACACACAACAGCACGCACCGAGGAGACAGCACAACTATTCGTTCGATACATCATCTCACAGCATGGCATTCCAACCACACTTATCTCTGACCGAGACCCCAAGTTCACCAACAAGTTCTGGAAGGAACTCATGTCTCTACTCGGGACCAAACTCGCCATGTCATCCGCTTACCATCCACAGACAGACGGACAGACCGCGCGCCTCAACCAGATTGTCGAGCAACTCCTCCGAGCAGCCTGCAAGGAGGAGATCTCCAAATGGGACTTGCACCTGCCCGTCCTAGAGTTTGCTTACAACAACGCTACCCATGCCACTACTGGACAGACGCCGTTCTTCCTCTGCTACGGATGACACCCACTCACACCTGAGAAACCGATCACATCCGCTACAGTCCAACCTGCACATGATTTCACCACAACCATGCATCAGCTTTGGGATCGGACCCACAAGCGCCTCCTCGACATTCAGCCGCAACAAAAGTGCCAGGCCGATCGCCATCGCAACGACCACACCATCACGGTGGGAGACCAGGTGCTTCTTGACACCCGCAACCTGGACAACAGCCACCTCCCATCTGAACTTCGACCTCGCTTCTGCGGGCCTTTTCTCGTTGAAGCACAGTCACTCTTGTTACCTTCCGCTTACGCCTGCCAGCTACCTGGAAGATTCACAACGCCTTCCATGTCCAACTTCTGAAGCCCTATCGGGATCCAAACACGATCTTCGTCGGACGCCAACCGCCGCCGCCGCCGCCCGTCCTCGTCCAAAATGAACCCGAGTACGTGGTCGAGTCCGTGCTTGCACACCGCAGTCGTCGGACTGGCACCGTGGAGCTCCTCATCCGTTGGAAGGGTTATGATCCTTCTGAGGATAGCTGGGTACCTGAGTCCGACATGGGTAACGCCCGTCGTCCTCTGCATGACTACCTTGTCAAGCAGGGTGTTACTTCTATCACCCAGCTTTGCGGGGGGGGAAGTGTGAGAGTACGACCCCGTTACACCACTTGGCCTTTCCTTATTTCCTTCCTATTTCATTTCTTTTTTTATGTCATCTCATTTGGTTTCTTCTTCTCCATTTTCCATTAACCTTTGGTTTATCCTGCTATTATAATTATATCACCGACCAGGCTTGGGATGTACTGGTGCGCTATATCTAGCGTAATCTTGCCGTAATCCCTTAAAGCCAATAGCCTCGCGTGGCTATACGCAGGGTGATTCTATCTTCTAGAAGGGTCTATTCCCTTAGGATAAGATAAACCTGGTTACCTGATGTACTCTGGAAGTATAAAAGCGCCTTGTACTGATCGATAGTGCAATCTTTCCTCGAGTCATTTGATCCTGTGACAGGCAGGATGGCCCCAGGTTGGAGGTCGCATTCACTGTGGCCCAAAAAAATTCCATCTGCGATTACATCGCCAAGGATGACTAGCTTCGACTATCAGACCTTGTGCAGTGGTGCCGTACCAGATACGGCCTATGGGCGGACCCCAGCACTGTCTCCTGAATTATAAAAAAACATTGCGCGGTGGAAAGCTCTCGGCCCAGAGAGCACCTAGCACAAAAGGCTAAGAAAGGCTTTCTGGCCACAGCTCGAAAAACGTATGCGTAACTGGCACCGGATTATCTATAACGCTAGCCCTCACCCAACAGCATGCGCTCATCCTCGCTCCAGATTGCAATGTCCACAAGGACTTCAAGGCGAGTGTCGGATGGATGCAGAAGGTTCTTAAGCACATAGCTTTTAAGTGGCGTAAGATGGTGGGGGAAACGAAATCCACAGACGCGCGAGCGGCGCTGTTCGCCAAACTGCACTTCCCCTGCTTTTGCGAGCAGCTCAATCTGTGCCCCGAGCAGCTGTTCAACTTTGACGAAACGTGAATTTCCGGGTGATGCTTCCGACCACACGTTCTGCGAGGAAGCAATGCTAGGCAAGAAGATCGTGAAGGAGTAACTCACGGTCGCTTTGCTGATGAATGCAGACGGCTCCAAAGTCTTCAACCCCACGCGATACTGCTTCTGCCGCATGAGCGCCAAGGGCTGGATGACAGCTGAGGTGAGTGAATCTGTCGTGTGTTACCGCATATTTTGATATTGAGATTGTCGTCCATCGCAAATGTGTTGGGGCGATTTTGGGCGATGTACCCTAGTTTGCGCCTCGTGAACTAGGGTAGATGGCCGTCGGGAGAGGGCGTAGTATATGGATCAGTGTTCCGCCCAATAAATGTCTCAAACCGAGTCCCTGGTAGATGGGCGTTTACGGCGGAATGGGGGTGGCACTGTTCATCAAAGCGAACTACAGCATACCATCATTTTGTGCCACGCATCGTAGTAAACCACCACAAACTGGTCGCCACGTACACGCGAAAATTGAGGCTCGCAGCAAACCGGACCCACGGTGTACAGAAGTACAGGCACGCAACCCTGCTGCAAACCGCCATCCACTACAGCGGTCGCAAACTCCCAGCGATGTTTCGCGACAAGCTCGGTAACTGAATTAAAAGTGTTACATGCTGCATTTGTATGAAGCAAGGTGTTATGCAACAATATATTCCGTATAGTTGTTTGCTATAAAATCATTCGATATTATCAATTTATTTCTTTATTGTGGGCTTCATTATTGTAAACATTCGATATCATCCGAAAATACGCTATATAATTTGGTATTATTCATTATCAACTGGACCGAATTTTGCCCCTGCAATAACCAATTATAAAAGCATTACAGTAATTATAACCAAATTAGAGCACTAGAACTAACCTACAGCATCCTCACACGTTCAAGCACTAAGACGGACAATGCAAATAGAAATCAGCACACTAGCCTTCAACTGCAGGAAGGATCTCCTTGTCATTGACAGCCTTGCGATTGGTGTGCTCACACGTTGCAAGGGAGGGAGGCCCATTGCCCTTGTAGGTGGCAAGCGGCCATTCGACCTGCAAGGTTTAGCAGTATAATTTGTTAGACGTCTGATTAACGACCGATAAGAAAAGCTACCTCTAGTTACTCACCACTGTGAGGGCATAGGCAACGGCCGGAATCTTCACATCAAACGAGTCCTGCTTGGCACTCCCAAAACCCTTGCAGATCATCTTCTCGAAGCCAGTGGTCGCCATGACGCGACCGCGTGTGACGTGCCAGTGATAGTCGTAACGACCTATGCATGCGCATCGCACACACAAGGGGAAGCACAAACACAAGCATAGACAAACCAGGCACATGGAGGGGAGCAGGGACGGGGGAAGGGGGAGGCAAAGAGGGGGAAAGGGGGGTTTAGAGGGGGAAGAAAGGGGGCAGGGAGGAGAAAAAGGGGAGCATGAATGGAGGAACTTGGGGATTAAAGAGGGGTAAAGGGGGAAGCAGGGGAGGGTGAAACGGGGGGAGGATGGGAAGCATGAAGCGCGCTCAAGGCATCCTCATTCCTCCCGCAGGGGCCTCGGTAATGGTGTAGGCGCAGGTGTCCAGAGCCGTCCTTTGCAAGGGAAAGTGATGGGAGTAGAAACGTGTGAGCAGGGAAAGAGAAGGGAAGGACCAGGGGGGGGGAATGGGGGGAGCAGGGAGGGCAAGTGGGAAGAAGAGAGGGGAAAAGGTATGAGGAGAGAGGGGAAAAGGTGGGAGCCGAGATTCGGAAAGGGGGGAGGAGATAGGGGAAAGGGTGGGGGCAAGGAGGGTGAAAGCATGAAAAAGGGGAAGGGCGAAACGGGGGAGCAGAGAGGTGGGAAAGGGGGAATCTGGGAAGGGAGGAAATGGGGAGCAAAGAGGGGAAAAGAGGGGAACAAGGGAGGGGGGGAAGGATGGGAAGTTTGCAGCAGACATAAGGGCATTCTCACTCTTCCCACACTGGGAAGAATGCCAGGGCGCACGTGAGGGCCTCGGTGAGGGTGTATTAGTGGGTATCTAGAGCAATCCTCTGTAGGGGAGAGTCATGGATGGAGAAATGCGGGAGCAGGGAAGGAGAGGGGGGGAGCAGGGAGGGCATTATGGGGGAGCAGAGAGGGGGAAAGGGGGAAGCAGAGAGGGGAAGTGGTGGGGGCAGAGAGGGGGAAAGGGGGAAGCAGAGAGGGGAAGTGGTGGGGGCAGAGAGGGGGAAAGGGGGAAGCAGAGAGGGGAAGTGGTGGGGGCAGAGAGGGGGAAAAAGGGAAGCAGAGAGGGGAAGTGGTGGGGGCAGAGAGGGGGAAAGGGGGAAGCAGAGAGGGGAAGTGGTGGGGGCAGAGAGGGGGAAAGGGGGAAGCAGAGAGGGGAAGTGGTGGGGGCAGAGAGGGGGAAAGAGGGAGGTGGCGAGCGGGGAAGCAGGAAGCTGGTTTTGGGAGCCGAGAGGGGGAAAGGGGGGCGAAGGGGAGGGGGAAAG